TAATAATAATAATAATAATAATAATAATAATAATAATAATAATAATAATAATAATAATAATAATAATAATAATCATTTAAATTTCTAAATAATTATTCCAACAAAATAACAACAACAATAATAATAATAATAATAATAAATAACATGAAACAAAATAAATTGGACTTTCTTTTTTTTTTTTTAAAGTTTAAAAATTTTTCCTGGCTATTTATTATGCTTCGGATATATAAAAATGCGTATCGTACTGAAGGCAAGTGAGTACCAACGCACAAAATTTTCTTGTGAAATTTTTTCTAATGGATGAAAATGTAAAATGATCGTCGGAAATAATAATAATAATAATAAGATTAAAAATATTTACTATTACCGGAAAAATGAAAAATTCTGCTGGAAAAAACCGGCAAATTAGAGTACCTTTTGTGCGCTGGTGAGTACCATACTAAAAAAAAAAATCCAAGTTCAACATGGCAATTCATACTTCAAATATTTTTTATGAATTCGTCAAACAAGAGGATGGTATCGACGTTCTGCGTAATCTAATTAGATTGTTAATTTGATTATGTGTATATAGTGATTATGATGGAATTAGCTCAAAATTGCTTTTTTCACATATGAATTTTAGAGATTTTAAATAAAAAACCAAGGATGCTAAATCCTTTTATTGTTGAATTAATCACTAAAGTTTGATAACGATGAATTTTTTTTTTATGTTCTTTAAGTAATGCAATCTTGATTTTTCGATTTTTCAAATAATTCATTTAGTTTATTATAAAAAAAAACCCCATTAAAAATGTAAATTGGTACGAGAAAATTGCTATTCAATCATCTCCAAAATAAGCCTCGGCTTGAAGGCAAAGTTTCGACTTGATAAACAAATCCCAAAAACCATTCGCTGGTAAAATCTGATCCATTCAATTTATTTTATTGCCATCAATTATTTCGTTCTCCCGCCTAATAATAATATTTGATAACAATAACGGCAATAACAATAATAATTGGAAATTTATTTTCATAGATATCAATAAATATTAAATATATTTCAAAGTTAACAAAAATTATGATTATACGTTATTACCAATTCATGTGTCCTCGGGATTATGAAAATATCATAAAACCACCAAATGATGAGCCATCAACTACCAACAAGACAATTCTTTTCGGTAAACTGGAGAACGTCAAAGAAACCAGTAATAAGAAAAGAAGATGTATAATCGGACAAAACTTGAACCAAAAGAAAGGGAGGATTTAAAATTAAATTAATGTTAGGATCATCCGGTTAAGGGATTTTTAAACGGCTAACATCACTAGTTTTTGTAAAAATTTTCCCACGTCGATCATTATATAGCATTCACTCATTCATAAAATTTAAAGATCTCTAAATCTTTTAATTAACCAATTTAATTTCTAAATAATGTTTTACAAAAATAAACAAATAATAAATAATAATAATAATAGCCATACTAACATGATATTCCGTACTAGTGTCAGCATATTATTAATATTGAGATACGGAAATATGTACGACCATCATAATAAAGAATTAAAACGCAGTAATTCTTTTTTTTGATTTTCTATTTGCAAATCCAAAAAATAATTAATATAGATTTACTTATTTTTATATATTAATGTTTTTTATTATTATAAATAAATTTTCATTCTAATAGTATTGCCAATTGCGGATCTTTTAGTACAATTCCATTAGTACCAATTCCGTACAAATAAAAACGTACTTTTACCGGAATTTCCGTACATCCTCCTTATTATTATTATTATTATTATTATTATTATCATCATTATCATCATCATCACTATCAGTTATGAATCACTTACATTTTCCCGTACATTTTGTGCTTTTTTACAGGAAGATTCCATATTAGTATCTTCCGTGAGTAATTTTTTACGGGGTAATAAATATTTATCAATTAATTAAAATTTGTCAAAAATCATTAGTTTATTAAAGATAGGAACTGCAATTCAGCCATAAACGCAATTTCAATTTTTATATGCTGCAATTAGTCGAGGATCCATTTTTTTTATTTATAAAACAAATTAGAAGTGGTTGATTAAGTTGTTATATAAACTTTGAATTTACAAAACTAGTGGTTACACTCATGGAGATCTGCACAAGTATATGACATAATTAACACTTAATATAGTATGATCGGCTTGAAATAAAATTTGACAGTCAAATCGTTTCAACGAATCTATGGAGACATATAAGATCTAAAATTCATTATTATAACAAGATTCATTGAAACAACGAGGTTTGACCATATAAAAAACAAGATAAACAAATATTATCATTTCAAATTATATATATTAATATGCAAAATTTATTTCTCTAATGTTAATAGATATATAATAATTAAAAATAAAAACTTTGACGAAATTTAAAAAAAATTTAATATAAAAATATAAAATAGATATTATAATGTTCAAAGACTATAAAAATAACACAATTGATATTTTTTAGCTAGATTGATGAATTCCGTTTCAAAAAACAATTTTTGCAATGATAATGGTTTTATCTCATTTTCCAGCCAATCTTTTATAATTGAGAGAGGATATGGTACATGAACTAAATTTAAAGCATTTTAATAGGTTCAAAATTTTGTGTTAACCATGTGATTGTGGTTCCCATTTATGATTAGTTGCTGCCCAGTTATTAATTAATTTGTTTTTGAGCTCACTAGTTGAATAATCATACATTACTTTTAGAGATTCTTTAATTGTAGTTATACGTGGAATATTTAAATGCGAGTTGAGACACTGAACAAATTCTCCAAAACTAGAACCTTTTAAAATATGAAAAAGTTGCATGTACGTCTTTAATCACAAATTCAATTAATTTTTTTTTATGATCATATACTCAAAATTTGAAATATTATGTGATCCACATGTGGGGTTTTTAAAAAACCACCACCATTCAATTCAGCTTCCAAAAGGGAGTCAATTCATCTAAAAAAAATTTATTTTGTCATTGATTTTTAAATTTGAGAATGCAATAATTCTCGTATTACAACATTTTGAATTTGCAAAGTAAAATAATCAATCGATCAACTTTTAGAAGATTTTACGAAAACCACAAGGACAAAAACTGAATTTTTATTTATGGATCAATCAGCTGAACCTCAAGGATCATTTTAGTATTAGGAAGTGATACCCTCGGAAAAAGTTTTTATAACGGAAAAAAAATTTCGGCTCTTGTATGTAACACTCGAGTGCTCATAAGCGTGGATCTCCCCATAAATGATATTAATATGATCACGAGGACTTTTTTAAGGATCAATTTTTTAATTCAGCTATTTTAAATAAAAATTTGAATGAATTTATATTTAATTTTATTGTATATAAAGCTCATATGTGGTATGCAAGAATCCCTTTTTGTCCTATATAGATAGTAACAATTATCGGGAATTTATGCACGGATGATTAATTCACAATTCAAACCATTATCATCGGCTTTTATTTTTAGAGATTGTTGTTTATTCAGGAAAATAATAATAAAAAAAAATTTTGAGAAGCTTAATTTAACCTTTATCTTTCCATCCAAGGCGAATATAGTGGAAGATAAATAATGATTATCAAAATTAAAAGCATTTTATTTCATATATCAAGAAATAATGGAAAGCTATTTTTATCATTCATCATTGTCATTTAAAATCATACCAGATCAGTCCTGATTATGATTAATTTACGAAAATTCCTTTGTTTTTACTACAACCTTGTTAGAGGTTGTTTTTTCTCCATTTAAGGAAAATAAACAGTAAAGATCAATTTCCATTTAATGTATTGTTATGCAATTAGAAGAGGCTGCCAATATTATAAATAAGAGCATTTAATCCTTTTTTTTTTACAATCAAAAAAATCATTACAAATGTCACCCAAATACGCCAATAACGCTTGTATTCGATGCAGTATTAAACAAATTAAATGCGACAATGAAGAGAAGGTTTGCAATAATTGCTACAAGACAAACAATGGTTGTCATCGAAACAAGGCTATAAAACAAGAAATCAAGAAGCAACAAAAACTGAATAGATCATATAAATGCTCTTATAAACAATGTAAACTCTTCAATATTTGCACATTTAATATTTACTAAATTTTTTAAAAAAATTAAAATATTTTTATTTGTTTTTGTTTTCACAAGTTGAAGCATGTTACCAACAAATACTACAAGCTAAAACTACTGGTGAGCAGGGAATGTTAAATCAATTATTAAATCTTAGTAAACAAGGTAGGTAAAGTTTTCAATATTTGCACATTTAATATTTATTTAAAAAAATTAATTCGTTTGATTTTTTGCTTTTGATTTCACAGTTGAAGTACTTCATCAACAAACCACAAATACTATTCATGAACAAAGGATGTCAAATCCATTATCAAATTATTATTTTAACAATCTTGGTTTTAATGATAATAGACAAGGTAAACAAACTATTCGATATTTGCACATTTAGTATTTATAAAATTTCTTAAAAATTTAATTTTTTTTTTGTTTTTGATTTCACAAGTTGAAGCACTTCGCCAACAAATTTCACATACTATCAATGAGCAAATAATGACAAGTCTATTATTAAATCACGATCTTGATTTTGGTAATAATAACCAAGGTGAACAAAGCCTTCAATATTTGCGCATTTAGTATTTACAAAATTTTAATTCGTTTTGGCTTACAAGTTGGAGCACTTCGTCAACAAACAAATCTTACAAAGAGTTTCAAGCTGTAAAGTAGATTTTATTTAATTTTTTCCCATAGAATTAAATTTTATTTTTAATAATAATAAATATATATGTCGAATTCATTTGTAAGAAAATTTTCTATATATAGTATTAAATAGATAGTAATAATATACAATAAAAAATGAAGTTATGAACCCAAAATGTGTTAATTCAAAATAACAATAGACTCAAAAACGTGTTAATTCAAAAGAATGGAAGTATATATATAACCTTTTTTGGATCTTAAAACGATTCCCGGAGTTTTTTTGCATAATAATATATAATATATAACCGGTTAATAATGTCATACAAGGATCTTTGTATATCGTCATTCAAATCCCCCAAATAATAAAAAAATAAATTAAAATTGGTTTTCTTTTAAATTTTTTCTGCCGTTTATTATTCTTAAGATATATAAAAATGCGTACCGTACCAAAAAAAAAATCCAAATTCAACGTGGCAATTCACATTCCCAAACTAAAAAACATCAAATCCAATAAATATTTTTATATTGTTAATTGATTATATGCATAGTGTATAGTGGTAGAAATTGCTTTTTTCACATTATGAATAGCATATTTATCAGTGTCACTGTAAACATCACCTTTCAGTCACGAGCAAAATGCCTACTGGCTACATTATTATTATTATTTGAAGATTTATTACGATTATTATTATTATTGAATTACCATTTGTTCTCTCTTTCCAACTACCATTAATAGACTTTTATTATTAATTCTTCTTTTAATTTTTGTTCAATTAAACCTTCTACACTTTATTATTGTTGATAAATATCTTGGCATCATAAAATACGCAGATAATTCCATACCTCTAGAAAAAGTTTTTGATCTATTAATTGCTTCATTTGATATTGTTGGTAAATAGGTAGATGATTGAACAGGTACAAGGAACTAAGATCTTAACCGTCTATAAATTGACGAATTTTATCAGATTATATCTTTGTATTCTAATATTTATTTACTAGTTTAGCACCATTTTCAATATGTAACGTATATAAATGGTGAATGGTCAATTGATGATATGTGAAGATGATGGTTTTTATCTTTTGAGTTAATTTCTAATTTGGAATGTCCAAGTGCAATTTAACAAAATAGATTATTGTGAACATCAGGAAACCTTTTCTGACATGAATTATTACACTGCTTACGTAAGTTTACATCAAGCTTTGTAATAAATTTTTATGGAAAAATTATTACATTCATGTTTATTTTATTCAGTGTTGTGACCAGAAACTCTTTTGGCTTCCCGAAACGTTTCGGAAAATGAACTTACACTAAGCAGAAAACTAAACCTAAAACTAAACCTAAGCATAAACTACTAACCTGAACTAGCTTCGGGTGGTTTCTGTTAGTTTCTGTTTCTGGTTTTCCCTAAACTCAGAGTTTCGGGTCACAACACTGATTTTATTACAACATCATATAATAAAACTTATGGTGAATGCATTATTGGCAAGGAAAATTTCCTGTCTACAAAATAGTTATTTGCACAATAAGTTTACGTTGGGCCTCATAATATCATATAAAAATTTATGGAAAAATTAATATTCAGTGTAAATGTTACAATATAGTAAAACCTACGAACATAATATTACCGTGGAAAAACTTCCTGATGTTGTTGTTCAATAACAGAACATTTAAAATACTATGTAATAGACATATCGTTGCCAGTTGTAGTTTTAAACAAATAATATCTATTCTCTTTATCTTGTACATATTTGCTAATCTCAAATATCCGCCAATGAGGCATTTTATTAAGAGAATCAGATAGAGATGGGCAGATCAGTACTATACGTATAGTGCGTATAGTTCTAGAAAAATATAGTAGTAAATGTAAATCA